TAGCAGCTATACAAACATGCTAAGGGCTGGCTGTTCCCCCCCCCCCCAGCCACTCTCCATCAAGCAGCACGTGGCATGACATATGCTAGACTTCAGCTAACAAAACAAACGTGCACCACTGTGGTTTGTAAGGTCTGTTTAGGTTTTGTGCTAGCATCTGAAATAACAGTACCATCTTTTAAGAGTTCTCTCCATTTACAGCTGCTTACTCATAGCTACGAAGACAGACTGCATTCCTAAGCCCCCAAACACATTTCTCTTCCCATCAGGCAGCTGCCTTTATCGTGGTTGTATTCAGAAGACAGTTGGTGCACCGAGAACTTACCATATTTGACAAAGCTACTCTGTCTTTAGGAACCACCAATGAAATATCAAAAGTCGCCTTAATAGCAGGCTCATCCCAGCAAGGGAAAGCTCTGCGAGCATCAGTAGCCTGAAAGAAGAAAGAACGTTAACCCAAGAAATCACAAGAAGCTGCTGCAATGGAAACAGCCCAAAAATAGGTATATCTCATGGGCAAGAAGTTGGATGAATGCAGGCTGGTGGTGATGGCACTGTGCACCTCCTCACCGACCCCTATGCTAAAGCATTCGGTGACTGATGCGATCATTTGTTTCTCTCTCTGTTTTTCTTCTTCCTTTGTAACACAGCTAAAAAGCACTCTGTGCTCTGATGGAATTCTACAGTCTGTGCAGAATTTAGCAGAGTCATGGCAGGAGCAAAGCTCAGTCATGTGAAAGCAGAAGGGCACGCAGGCATTCCCAGGCAGCAGACACAGGACCACCTACCCTGCACCCAAAGGAAGCCTTCTGTGAGTGCAAGGCAGCACTCTGTGTTTTCCTGTGGCACGCAGCTATGAAATCACAATATGGAATGAAATTCTGTCCTTATGACCAGGGCTTACATAATGCTTGAGCCATTTTCTGGCTCGCGTTTTGGATGTCATTATAATGCCGAGATAAAGGCAGAATGTTCTAATTAAAAATTAATATATTTCACAGGGGCAAGCTATACAGATGTGTTTGACCACATCTACATAAATAGATGCTTCCAAACGCTGCATCTGTTTTATTTATATATAGTGCATCACACATCAGCATGACTGTTGGCTGGGGAATGCGCCAGACCCAGACTGCACCGACCTTCAAGTCACAGCATAAAGGACAGTTTGAGCACTGCCCATCCACCAGAAGCAAAAAAAATAAAAGCATTTTTGAAGTTTACCCAAAGCAGAACCAAAGCCAGGACAGCAGGCCTGCGCTGCTGCCGAGAACAAAGACCCCACAAGAATGAGAACCCTTGCAAAGAGAAACGCAGCCCGTACCTCAAACTGAGTGACAGCAGCATAGCGTGTGTCTCCAGTAGGGGTTGTGTATTTGCTTCGGTAAAAACCTTTCATTTTATCATTCAGCTCCCCTACAAAGTCTATCTTCAGCGTTCCCGTCCCTGAAACAGAAACAGATTGGACGCTGTTAAGGAAACACCACAGAGCATCTCTTTGGCCCAGACCTGCAGCCTGGGCCTCTCGGCTGGACCACTGCCTTTCTGAAGATGGCCTTCGGTTCATCCCCACCCACAGGTTTTCTGACTTTCAAACCCTTTGCTCTCCTTATGAAAGAAATGAGATCCAGCAGAGCTAAGCATCAAAACCAGCGCAGGCAAAGCCAGGCGTACCGTACAGAGCAGGTTCCTGCAGGTTCCTTCTCATCCTCTGAGCACAACACAGGAACCAAGAGAGATCTCCCTGAAGCCATCTGACAGGCCTGACCCCACTGCCCTCGTGTATATTTGCAAAAACACGAGCTGTGGCTGTTCATCCTCTTGAAACTTGCTGCAAAAGCAAAGTGGAGCACTGGTGGCATTCAAGCTCCTAAGTCAATTAGTCTCAGGATTTATTCTGCCCTCCACGACTGGGTGTAAAAGGGGAAACCTGATCTTGATCAGAAAGGCAGCCTGCCAAAATCCCACAGCATGAAATGCCAGCAGTTTATCACCTGACCATCTTTACATTTGTGTTTGAAAAGATGAAGCAAAACAGCTTCATCCAAACCAAGGAGCTAAGCTTCCATCCACAAACCCCACACAGCAAAAAAACAATGGTTTCAAAAGATTTAGTGCATTCAAGCCTAGGAAAAACGCTGCAGTAACTCAGATTAGCCCTTTCTCAGTAAGAGGAGAACAGATCATCAGTATGTGACAGAAATAGCTTTGAGCCTAAAGCCCAATAGCAGGTAAATAATTGGAGTCACCTTCATGTTAGAAGCAAACACCACCATTAAGAAAACAATCTCTCCAGTTCCAGGGGCCCACAGTCAAAGCTCTTATCTGTTGTGTTTCCCATGAATCTCAGAGATTTGAGTACCACAGGGACCTTGTGAAAGAGGTCTCTTGAGTCAGGTGTTAATCTGTGCTGCCCGTTCTAAGCATCCATTCTCTGAGCAGACACAGATAATCAAAGCACTTCCTACAGAAACAGATGAAGAGCAGCTTCTTATGGCACTTCCTTGAACTGCATTCTTTCTGCTAGAAGAAGGAACTCCAACTCTAAGGCATTCTCAGAGTTACTCCAGTCTGACAGCTGACAGCTCAGGTTCCACTCCCTCAGCCTCTGGGGGACACGCAGCTGCTGCTCCAGCTTTGCTAAGCACCACAAATGCACAGGGCAGAACGAGCTGAAAGCACCTGAATAGCTCTTACCTTTCTGAAGGGTACTGGGAAAGGAGAGGGTAACCTTCTCATCCTCATTCTGATAGTTGAACCCTGTGGCATGTACCTCTGCAAGAGAAAGATTTCGTCTGAAAGAAGATCCAGTGATGCTTTTGTAACTCCTGAGCGCTTCAGATGAACCCGATCAGCTGAATCCAACAGCAAATCAATGGAGGTTTTGAATAATCCAGAAGGATCGTTTTGAGCAACCAAAGAAACACCAGCCTTTGTCTGCAATGACCCCACCTCACCTTGCTTCAAGCCTGAATTCAGCACATTCACTCCAGAGCCTGTGCAGCACTACTCCAACCCTCGAAAACAGCAAGAAATGGCACTGTTTTCCCTCAATATTAAAGGCTTACATTAGTGCAGCAGGAGTCCTGTTAATTACCCTGAGCAGAATGCTTATGATTTAACTAATAATTCGTGGGCTGGTTTGAAAAGCACACTAATGCCCACAGCAAGGTGGCTTTGTTTGGTTATAAAGCACTAAGAAAAACTCGATGCTGATTTCATTTTAAGCATGTCTTTAGACCCACAGACCTACCTTGGAGATGGTGCACCATTCAGCAAGGGCATCCAAAACCAACTGGAATATTAAGCAGCCCGGCATTCATTCACACAGCGTTGGGATCTATTTGTAGATGCAAACATCTCAACTATGAGAGCAAAGCAGGAGAGCTGGGGGAGGGAACCAGCAGAGCAGAGCTGCCCTGCAGCCCGTGGACAGAGCCAGCTCCTCCTGGTGCTCCTTCCTGCCCAGCTCCCCGAGTGCCACTGGGGCACACGAAGCGATGCACGACGGCGCTCCTCCAACCACACATCTAAAATAGCTGCACAGGGCCTCGCTGTGCAAGTTCTGCTATCTTTGTCCCCCTATAATTAACTGCTGCCATAACTAGCTATCTCTAAGGAATGCAAATCTGCACCAAAACAGATCAGCAGAAACAGAGACCACACATCAGTGCCACGAATGAAGCAGCTGGGTAACCCTGGGCACGGCAACGCCGTGCAGGAACGCGTAACTCCAGGTTCACAGCGAATATCTGGCAGGTCAGAGCAGTTTGTGAAGATCCAGGAAGTGCCCAAACCAGCATCCAGTGACAGCATTCCCAGCACAAACTGCCCACCCCATCCACTGACAGCAAATCCGATGGGAAAACACGGTTTGGGTGCTGAAATGGCAGAGAAGCTCAGGGAGCTTTTCAGAACCGACCCAGGATGCAGCAAAAACGATGCAGCAAACAGCCTCTGCAACCACAGAACGGCCTGGGTTGAAAACGACCTCAAAGATCACCTAGTTTCAACCCTGGGCCACAGGCAGGGTCATCAACCATCAGCCCAGGCTGCCCAGAGCCTGGGAGGCACACAGATACACATGCTGCTTTCTGAACAATCGCAGAGAGAAGAGACAAAACAGAACAGAACAAAACAGAACAGCTACTGCTCCGTTGGCTGTGCAGAGTGAAAGGCTCGTTGAAAACAAGGCTGTGATTTACAGCATGCCCTGCCTTCCCTGCTCAAGTGTCACTACCAGAACCCAGGTACGCAGCTTCGGAGGCAGCCCGAACGTTCTCAAGACGTTCAGATAAGCTGTTCTATGGATAGCAAATGTAATTGGAGACATGGTTTGATTTTGTATAAAACGTGACGTGTTGGTTTGGGTTTTTTTTCTGGAATACGATGCTGTCAGCCTTCGGTCAGAGCAAACACCACCCTCTGCTCACACAGCACACAAACCACACCGGCGCTGCCTTCACACCGCGCCGCTCGGCCTTCGGGCAGGGCAGCACCATGACACAACCCAAGCTGTGCAAACAGACAAAGATCTTTACAGGATCGAAAACAACTCCACACTGTACTGGGAAGCTGCAAGAGTTTAAAGATCAGCTGTGAGCCGGATGAGATCAACTGCTGAATCAGACCTGCTCGGGTTTGCTCGCTGGGGGAAGCCAGCTGTACCCTCAGCAATGGAAAAGTCCCTTCATGGAGGGGCTGTGGTCCATTGCAACTGAACTCACACCAACAGCAAAGCCATGGCCTCCACTTACTGCACATAGGCTTGGAATTTTTCTATTCCAGACTACAGCAGGATCGATATCCCCTGCTTTACTCCTCACTGTCATTCAGTGGTGGCTCACAGAGTTCTCAAAGCAGTTACTGATACATTCACACGTCAAGAAGAGCAGAATGCAAATGAAAGATTTGAAGCTACACTCTCTAAACTGACGACTCAGCACTAATAATCAAACCCACAGCAAAAAGCAGCACAGAAAACCACCAGCAATGCTTCTTGTCATTTAAGAGAACCACTCACAAACGAAGATGTAATTGCAGTTAAAGGCCGTCCGAATTCCTAACAGCACTGAATACAAAAGCTCCTGAGGAGAACAACACGGTTTTGGCAGCCTGCTCACTTTGGAGAGTCTGGCACTGCAAGGTTGCAAGTTAATCACCAGCACATTAGTGCACAGTCTGGACCAAATAGCATGAGAAAATACAAAGCTGCTAGAGCTGCCTTGGAAAAAAAAGCATCCAAATCAGAGCTAGCGACTCTCCCGGACTGGGAGTGCTGCAGATTAGATTTTACAACAGCATTTTAAACAAATTACAGCCTTCCTACAAAGTACTTCCTGAAATGGCACGGTAACGAGATGGAAACGTCAATTAATGATCCCAATTTCTGTGTTACACACTTCCAAACGTGGAGCCTCGCCAGCGGTTCCAACCGACGTCAGACGGACGCGGAGCAGCACGGCCAAGTGGGAATGGTGGGATTGGGACTATCAGAATCAAGCTGGCTGCAGAATAATGCTGCTCTGTGCACACAGGTTGGGCTGGGGGCAGGGAGGGGGGTTGTGTTTTCTTTTTCCAATTGGCCCCACATAAGGCAGGATGAGATCGACCACTCAAACTGCTGGGAGAAGTCAGCTGCACCCACAGCAATGCAAGGCTGACTCCTGTGGAGGGGCTGGGGGCTGTTAGAGCTGAGCTCACCCAAACTGCATGGACACGGCCTCCACTTCCCATCACTGCACTCTGGTTTGGGATTTTCCTATTGCAAAGTACTGAGCTATCAATATCTCCCGATTTATTCTTCACTGTCATTCAGCTGTGGGCTACGTAGCAGAAATCAGGACTGGGACTTGAAAAGTTCAGCAATCATCCCTCAGCTCCCAGTCAAACTTTGGGAATGCATCTGATTGCCCTGGAAATGTGCATTAAGGACCGAATGCCACCCCCTGCTGCCTCCATCTCCCAAAGAACAAACAGGTGGAGCCTTGCAGGAGAAACCCTCACACAGCTGAACTCGCTCTCAAACATCCTCCATAAGCAACATGAAGAAGATTCACCCAGGGGACCAAACTCTGCTGATTCAGCTGATTTCTGTTGCTTCATTGGACCACATTTCATATTTGGTTTCTGTGACCAGTTCTAAAATTACCATCCAGAAGCTGTGCACAATAGAAGCATTACTAAGACTGACTTGATCTGTATCAACAGGTGCCAGCAAACAGTCTGCCAATTTCATGCAATTTTACTTCCAAAGCCATTATACTATTTGGCAGTTTACCAACCTGAAAGATACGTTTTAACCCCACGAAGCCAGACTATAATTACAGAAAACACGCCAAACTGCACCTCCAGTATTTATGCTGCAGCACTTGGAGAGGTGAGCACCCACACTGCAGCCCTCCGCGTCCAGAGCCCAAAAGCTGACATCAGAATGAAGAAACTCAAGCTACAGAAATTGATTTCCAATTTACTCAGTTTTAAAGACAAAAGCCTCTGTGAAGCTCTGCTGTTAATACTTCAAGGAGAGTGCACCACTGGTGAGGAATATAAAAGCAGACCCCCTGAAGGACAGTGAGATCAGCTCCGAAAACACGAAAACGAGCCACAAACATCCTCTCTATTTTATTAACTTCCCTTGACTGGAGGGGAAAGCAATGATTCTCAGGCACCTTCTCCATTTGTTTTCACTTTCTCAACAGCAAAACAAGGAGCCAGCAGGCGGTGTGGGCTGGGGCACAGTGCTGGATGGAACAGACCCCATCAGCTCTGCTCCTCCCTGCACTCTGCGTGCTGCTTCCCTGCTGCAGCTCCCAACAGCACCTCTGCTTTCTTTGGTCCTACATTAAAACAGCACCAAACAGATTGAAGTGCAAAAACTCCCTGCTTGCCACACCAAACTCCATCAGCCTGAGGACAGTGCTATTCCAGAGAGGGCACTGCAAGGAGAATGAAGCAGTCCCAAGGAAGGCAGGTTCCTCGTGCAGGGGTTCAGGCACAGCCCTTCCCTCCGAGGCCCCCAGCTGCTGGGCAAACATACCTGGGGAGTTTAACCCACTCTCCATGGCCTCCCACACTCCTTTAATTCACAACCCAGTTCTGACACAGTTGCTCCTATGACTCTTCCTCCTGCAGAGCCTTTTGTTGTCTGAGTGATGTAAGCAGCAGTTGTACTTCGTGGACCAAATTACTTCAATGCCTGAGGCAGCAGAGGCTCCCCGTGACAGCCAGAAACCCTTCACCCACTATCAAAGCATTACTCCATTCCAAGCTCCTGATTTCCCACACCTTGATCATTTCATACTGTAATCACTGTAACTCTTTTTGGGCCTGCTAAAATCTCCACACAATAGAATTGGTGACGACATCAACGTATCATGACAGCTCCTGCTTGTGTCCCCAAGAACCTCCTGTCTTCCAGTGCACTGCCTGCTCTCCTCCACACAACCACCTTTTTCCACACTAGGAAAATTCTGTTCCACGTCAATTAAGTTTTGTGCACTTTTTCAGACCCTTCACAGTGAGGATTTCCTACTGCTGGCCACGCCTGATCCAGCTCTAAGCTAAGCCCTTGCTGCAGCTTTTGTCAATATTGCCAAGTCCAGAGGTGCAGAGGATGTTTTTTTATGCAGGTACAACAAACAAACAAAGTCACAACAGGTGCCCTTTCGCCTATGACACACAAATGGGAGAGCAGGCCAAAGGAAACTTGAGGCAACACACAGGAATGGGGAAAAGAAGGAAGGCTGGGGAACTCGCTGCATGCTTTACAGGGAGGGCAGCTCCTCCAATTATGAGATGTATTTTCTATTGAAGTCGTTAACCGTTGGCAGCAGCAACAAAAACACATTGCCATAAAGAAGAGCAGCCCTACCTTCGTCTCCTTCTGGCGCATAGGAGGCTGTAATGATGTCGATGTCAGCACAGTTCATCACAATCTGGTTGGTGCCATGCTTCACCTGCAAGAGAAACGTCATCAGCACCAGGAATAAGGGAGCAGGGTTAGGGAGCACAGGGGGCAGGGCACCCCAGCGAGGCAGGCATTCTCCATCTATCAACTCCCACATCACCACGTGCCTCCAAGGGGCAAAGAAGAGAAAGATTTTCCACCGCCCGCTCTCGTCCTTTTCAGAACCAGAGTGCCTGAATCCCACTCCAACCCTCCGTCCCTGCTTATCAATACTGTAATATTGCAGGGAATGGGCTGCCCGTTCAATACGTGTGCTGGACAATAGGGCCCTTGTACATGCCTGGAAGCCCAGACCAATGAAAACAGATGGAAAGCTGTAGGCTTCCTTTCAGCAACGACCTGGAGGAGACTGCAGAACAAGTGGAATGCTTGTGAACACAAACCCACACCTCCCAGAGATCACAGGCAGCACAACCTACAGGCTCAGCATTCTGCACCGGTGACGATGTTACAAGTTCTTAGGTTAAAAACATCTGCCAAGAAATTCCCTTTACATTTTCCTGAAAGCTTTCCTTCTGCCAGCTCTTGGCTACGCACGCTTTGCTTTATTTAACAAGCGGCCGGCTCCCAGCATAGTCACAAACCGCCTCCCTGTGCCAGCTCCCTATTTGGATGCAAGAGCTCCAACACAGAAGAATTCAAATTAAATATCAATTAATTACAAAGGGGCTAAATATTTGGGAACTAAACTAGGAATTATTCAGAACCTTAGGGCTGCAGCCACCCAACCCAGCACGCTGGATGGAGCCGGACAGCACTTCAGGCAGCAGGCAATGCCTGCTCTGCAGAGGAAAGAGAATCCCTCCAACAGCCAACTGCTCTCCAACAGCCACCGCCGTACCCAGACACTTCATTCCTTGCAGCATGAGGACTTGCAGCCCTTTCTCGTTGCTTTTTGCCTCCTAGTGCCCTGTTAGCCCTCTCCCTGCTACCAGCAGAGCCACAGCAACCAAATGTGAGCATCAGTGCTGGGGATGCTTCAGGCATCCAAGGAGGGCAGCTCTCAGCCCCCAGCCCTCCTGCCCAGGCTGACAGCAGGAACGCTTCCTCAGTCATTGTGTGCACAAGACCCAAATCTGGTCGGTGATGAGAGGCTTAAGAAATTTAACCATGTAACTTAATAGCATCGTTAAGAATGGGCCATCTAATCTAATAATCTGCCTGCCCAAGTGCTAAAACCTGATTGCCCAAGGAAAGCCACCCCCCTCAGATGCTTCACTGGGCACAAACCTCCCCCAGCAGTTCCTCCATTCTCTCATCGCCTCCCTCGCTGCTCCTCATTCCAGCAGCAGAGCTGGCTGTGCACTGAGCACCCAGCTCCTTTCCCCACGGTGCCCCTGAGGGTCACAGAACCAAACCAACAGCACCCAAAGACCTGTTTGGGATTCCACAGCAAGGGATACAACACACTTGCAAGGCATGAAGCTAACAGACAGAACAGCTGCAGAACTCGGGCTGGAGCCGATGCTTCCAGTACAGACTTGCAATCTGAAATCCACGTTTTCCATTTGGTGTGCATGAAACCAAAGGATTGCAACACCTCCCAAAAGACAGAGATCCAAGCCCGATGATTTTCATCACAATTCTAAGGTTCGGGGTTTTTCGAGGTCTTCTAAAACGCAGAAAAAGAAATCGGGATGAGAAAATCTTTTTATAAAAGAGTACTTGTGAAGACCTTTATTCAATCTACAAATCCAAATCTCTCTGGATTAAGAATTCAAGATGCATAAATAGTTGTCCAAATTGCAGACAATACTGGATTTAACAATAGACTTGATCTGTAAAAAATGAACTCTTCTGAGGACAGAGGAATTTCCAGCACAGCACTGTGCTGCAGAATAAGAAAGTTTACGTTGAAGCGGAGACAAATTCAGAGGCTCCTCAGAAAAGCAATTACCTATTCTTAGATTTCTCTTGCCTCCTACAAACAGTGTCATGGAAGAGGCATTAAAAGGGATTGAGCCAGGAGATGGAAAACGTTCTCTGAAAGATGAAAGGTAAAACTCGGTGCATGGATGCAGACATCCAGGACCACGCACCGCACAGCTGAGGCTCTGCTAATCGAGTTGTGGAAGGAAGGAAAGCTCTCAGGTTGGTGCAGAGGCCCTGGCCAAGAGCCTGCTGCCTCCGATCGCCCAGATGATGGACAGCAGACACACCTGGAGGAACACCAGCAGCACAGAGCCACAAACCACCCGTTTATCTCGTGAGAACCTGCAGCACAGCCCCACTGGGAATGGAAGGAGGGGATGAGCCTCAAAGCTTTAAGCTCGCTGCTTCCCACGGAGCTCTGGCAGCGTTCAGAGGCAGCACTGGCCCAAAACACACTGCAGACACTGGGCTGCTTTGGTGCTGATGCTCTCCCAGCCCAGCACGTCCCCTTCCACGCTCAGCACTTGCTGCTGGGAAGGCAAATCTGAGATGCCAGCTAAAGCTGCACCCAAAAAGTTTTCCCAGGGAATACTGTGCTGCACACAAGGGCTGAAAAGGCCGATTACTCAACTATTGTGCACACCACAATGTTCATTTAGCACAAAAAGATGAAATCACTCTTGCCTTAGTGCTCTACAGCTCCTTTCCAGTTACATTTCCTCCTATGGGCAGGCTGAGCCCAGGGCCGGGGGCTGTGAGCACGGTGGCACCTACACTGTTATTCTGACAGTGAGAAACAATGAAGACTTCAGCAGAGCTGTGCCAAACATGACTCAAAGATGCTGGGAGGCCGTTTGTTTTCTCTAGCAGGAAAGGACTCGATGGAAAAACTTTTTTCAGGACGTGAGAAACAAGATTTTGAATGGCTGTGGAATGCCAGCCTACCTGAAATGCAGCGCTGGGTGCTCAGCAGACACCTTGTGCAGCCAAAAGTAATTCTGCAGGGCCTTTTGCAGGTCCAGGTAATTACATCTTGTAACTCTGCTTCACAATACTTGCCTTAACGCAGCATTACAGCCAGCATGCACACTTTCAGCTTTTACCCTCTAAAAATAGTCAACTAAAAATTACTTCAGTTCTCTTCTAAGCAGCAGCTTTTTAAGAATTCCTGAACACAGTGAGGAAAGTATAAGAAGGTTTTATTAATTTGTATCTTAGAGGAAATCAAAGTAGCCAAGCAGTAAAATTACCACTGCCAAGACCAATAGGTGCACTGGAAAAACCCCCTTCACTCCAGTGACCATCCCTACATCCATCTGCAGCAGCCACAAGTGCTTCAGAAGAGAACAATCTGCATGGACAAGCAAATCCCCCTGGAACTGCAATGAATGCCATCACCTCAGCGCTGTGAAATGCAGAGCTGGAGGGGAAAGGAGCAAAGATCCCCACTTCCTGAGAAGCAGCAGCAGGCTGCAGCGCTCAGCACAGCACCTTCAGTGCTCACCTTCCCCAAATTCAGACCTGATTTCATGGGCTGCAAATGTAAACTACAAAGCTGGATAAGAAGCCTGTGTGACACTCACCACCTCCTGCCCACCTCAGGAGATGCAGAGCACAAATACTACACCTGTTACAGCTCCATGTCTCAAGGTTTACATGCTGGAGTGTCAATCTTTAACCGGCACGCAGCGAGATCGGAAGACTGCGTATCTTTAGCTCAGCTCACTCTGCCTTATCAGCCTATTAAAAGCAACAGATACAGGTTAAACACTGCTAAATATAACAGAGCATCCCTAAGACACGTTGAAGGGGCTGGGAAAGACCCGTGCACGAGCCCATCCACCTCAGGTTGGGAACTCCTTACTGTACAAATGCAGTTTGTGAGGGGAGAATCACTGCTGTGCTGCCCACAGACAGCAGCAGGCAGGCAGCACTGCACCTCCTGCCCTGCACCAACAGCTGAGCCCTCAGGGCTGTGCCAGCACTGAGAATTCCCTCCTGGAGGCTCCCAGAACGCTGAGCTTCAGCAGCCAGCTGTGTTTCTGCCTTACTCGTGGCTGCCTTTCAGCACGGTGCAGGAGAGCAGGCCGACAGCACGACCCCTGTGTGCCCCACACCCCCCAGCAGCCAGCAGAGCAGCGCACGGTGCTGATGGCTGCCCCCCGAGCACCGGGGCTGCAAGAAATCAATCTGCAGCTAACAGATGAATAAAGGAGATTAACTGCTTCCACTCAAAAAAAAAACCCCCAAAAAATTAAAAATAAAACAAAACAAAAAGAAAAACCCAACCCAAATCTTCATTGTGCTCATTCTGAAACATCCACACCCCCACATGAATGGTTCACAGCTCCAGGAGTGCAGCTGCTGGAGGGGCGCAGGACCATAGCAGGCGGTGCTGCTCCAGACCCACAGCTGACACACAGGATCTGCTCCTCCCCACGTCCTGCCTGGGACCAAAGGCCCCCATTTCACGAGGAACCTGCAAGGATTCCTGGCTTTTAAGCCACGCCAATGGAAAACTGTCCGTTTATATAATTGTTACATAATTCTCCAGGCTTCCAACGTACTCCTATGACCACAATTTACATGATTTAAGGATCTCAGGTAAGCACTCAAAACTTCGGAGTTAGGCCGCCACGCACTTCACAAGCTAAGTATTAAATGTTATCATGGGACAGATTAGAGCATTGTTCCTTTATCAGGGAACAACAATTAGCAGGCAGAGGGTCACTTCCCTAACTTGAAAACCTGAAGTGCCATCATAAACTGCAGGCACGTATTCTTTCTTTTTAAGCCTCCGAAACCAGCCTGCTCACTGCTGACACCGAAGCAGCTCCTTATCTTTTGAATCACGGAGGGCTTTGCTCTCTGAAGCCGTGGAAGAGATGCATCACTCCTGAGTGGGGCAGAAAAGCAAAGTGTTTCTGTTCAGATCCTGACAGACGCCTCAGTGCCCGCAGCCAGGAGGGCTCAGCAGAGCTTCTTCAGGGCCTGGTGCTCAAGCTGAAAGGCTTAAAGCTCTACACAGAAAGCTGCCAAACCCTGCTCACAGCCAGCAGCACAAACTCACCCATCAGGTGTTTTGCTCCTGGTGTCTCGACTGGGAATTACAGCCCCTGCTAATTCCAGTTTGCTGTTCAATATGCACAAGAGCAAACGAACATTTATGAAGCGTATAAACGAAATTCCCACCATGTAATCCTGCTCCATTTTGGTGTCTCAGTTTCAGCACTCGCCCTGCAATCAGGAAGCATCTCCCCTTTCACTGCTCAAGGTGGATTTCCACTCGCCCAGCCATAATCACACTGGAATGGGGCAGAGGGACCAACGATCACGCTTTATTCATTATTAAAAACCATTGCTGGACTTTCAGGAAGGAGCATTCTATCTCATGATTGCTTTCATTCCTTACCCAAAATCCTGAAAATCCAGTTTGTCTCAATGTTAAATCCCTTTCACCTCCAGGCCTGCACAAGGGATGCTGAAAGCAGGATGAACCCCGCTCTACTTTACAAAAGCTGCTAACAGAAATGGTCAACAGGTCCCCAACGGAGCCAATGAGATCCAAAAGCACGCGAGTTATTTCTTCTAGACTCAGCCTCAACTCAGTAAGGCACAACCAGCAAACGTCAGCACATTCTCATTAAGCAAGCCATTCCCTCGCACCTAGCATTGTTGGAGAGCTGGTTCTTCTTCTCCCCAGTAGCAGCACAAGTTATCCTCTCATTTTCTGGAGCGTGCCTTCACCAGGCTGGGGACACCAGCAGCCAAGCAAGCTTCACATCTGCAGCACTCACCACATCCACCTTCTGCACACACCTGGGACGCAGCCTGGAAACTCTCCCATGGTTGTTATGTTACTCAGAGGCTTCAGAATAAAGATGCATCACATTGGAGGCTTTTAAAACATCCCCCTACTCCGTTTCTCTCTCCCATGGGAACAACGCGCTGCCACAGCGAGAGCTGAATTGGTGACAACCTTGAACCCTCAGCATCAATGCTCTTCCTTATGCCCTCAGCTGGTCAGAAAGTCCAGAATGCTGCACTGTCAGGTGCTGCCTCTGCCCTAAGAAATCACTGAGCAATCCCTCGAACAGCAGCAAAGAGCACCACCATATCCCAGCAGGGCTAAAATCCACAAAACCCCACACCAAACCCATAAGAAGGCTCCGAACCAACACGATTCCTGGAATTCAACGAAGTTTCCACGGCTGCAGCTCAACACCACTCGCTCCCAGCAGCCAGCCTGGCTTAAAAACCCGTCGCTCCCCTCCCCCCCGTGTTATTTTTAACCGGGCTGATTGCAGTGATCCCATTTGCAGTGCAGCCCCACAGCTGCACCAGGGCCCAGCAGCAGCACTTGGGCGCGAAGACAGGAATGGGTGCTTGGGATCCAAGCGGAAGAGATGGGGAATTTCTGCAGCCCCAAGGCAGCACGCTGTGGGAGGACCGGTGCTGTTTGACACCAGCACGTACATTGACACCTTTTTTTTTTTTTTTTTTCTTTTCAGGATTTCTTCCACATGACACAAACTTACTCATCCTCCTGCGGGTCCGCGGTCACGAGGGCTCACAGCTCAGCCCCCCGAGAGGGTCCCACAGTGCTGCAACCCACGAGGCTCTGGCAGCCCCCTGAGCACCGCACGGCAGCTCCCATTGGCCCCCCAGCCTCCCACAGGCCCTCAACCCCCAAACTGGCCCTCTGATCCCCCCCC